AGTTCAAGCTCAAGAACGAAGAACAAATCAAGTTCAAGCTCAAGAACGAAGAACAAATCAAGTTCAAGCTCAAGAATGAAGAACAAATCAAGGTTCAAGGACTGCGAGTTCAAATCAAAGTTCGTGCCAGTTGAATTCAAGATCATCGTTTGCAACAAACATATATTCAAGATCAAACTCAAAGGCCCCTTGAATTTATCTACAATTGGAAAGAAGAATCAGAGGATCCATAGAGATTGTAACACTCAAATACTTGAAATAAAATACTACGATTGTTGCAATATATTTCGGTCTTCATTTTATTTTCTCGACGCAAGTTTATTGTCTACAAATTCTAGCACGCCCAGTGGGACAATCTCTACCTCTCATCTCAACTTTTCAATCACCAAAGTCCAAGATCATTGAAATGGCTTCAAAGAAAATCAACTCCGGTTCAACTTCCACCAAGGCTGCTAACACCAGGTTCTATGCTGATGTGAAAAGCATCCTCGATGTCACCTTTGGAAGCTTCGGACCAGTTACGAGGAGAAAAGGAAGCTCTTTAGGACAACAAGCACCCTAAGTGCCGTCCGCATCAACCCCTGTTTTCGGATCTTCATCCTCAAAAGGAGCAAGATCTTCCACAAATGCATCTGAAGGAGGATCAGCTATTGTTACCTCCCTATCCTTGATTATTGGCGTAACTGAGGAAACTCATCTTTCTGGATTGATTTCATGCCCCATACATCTAGCCGTAAATGAATAAAATTGTCATTTCCAACCTTGAGTCCATTTTATTTCGTGAACTCATTCTATATGATTCCTCGTAAACTTTTCAAGTATGAGACTGTGATCTCTTAAGGGAATCAGCCAGACATTTCTTCTTTTTTGTCTTTTTCGTTTTTCCTTAGATTCATTGTGAAAATAATAAGAAGAACTGTTTAAATTACATAAGTAGCTTAACTATATTAACTGGATCAAGGTTTTTTTGTTGTTGTACTCGGTTTTATGGTAGGGTGTTTTATTGGGGGATTTTTACATTCCTATACCACATATGAAACCTTATTACCCTCAATGTTTAAGGTTTGATTTAATTACAAACCCGTATACCAAATTACCAATCCTATACCATACTTAATTAAGGGTCTAATTAATGGGCAGTTTTTACTCCTTAATTAAAGGTATCCATATATCCCACGTTTCTCTATCCCCATAATTCCTAAGATATTCTCAACCGCAATTGGTGGGATATATTAACTATCTCCAACTACGCTAATGGTCTGGTAGAAGTTGATACAACGAGGGTTCAGAAGTTTATAGCAAAGAAGAGATGATTTTGGTAGAAAATATCCATATTTTAATTGTTGTGTCGTTGTCATGGTGATTAAAGAGAAGCTTAGCAGTAACTTGTGCACAGAAATCCTTCTTCTCTTCTTTCTGTTTCTTCATCTTTTCTTGTTTTTGTTTCTGCACGTCCTAGTTATTAGTAGCTGTATTATGGATCTTGAAACCCTATTTTTTTTTTGGGATTTTTACATTCCTATGCCACATAGGAAACCTTAGTAACATTTTTTTTCAACATAGATCGTAATTTAATTGTAGTATAAATGTAGTAATTTTGTAGATACCCTTAAAAACAATACAGCTTTATACAATACTTAAACTGATTTGTAGTTTTTTTGAAGAAATTTTGTAGGTCAAGAGAAAATTTTGTAGTCAACATTTTTCTTCAACATAGATCGTAGTTTAATTGTAGTATAAATGTAGTAATTTTGTAGATACCCTTAAAAACAATACAACTTTATACAATACTAAAACTGATTTGTAGTTTATTTGTAGTTTTTTTTGTAGAAATTTTGTAGATGAATAGAAAATTTTGTAGTCAACATTTTTTTCCAACATAGATCGTAGTTTAATTGTAGTATAAATGTAGTAATTTTGTAGATACCCTTAAAAACAATACAGCTTTATACAATACTAAAACTAATTTGTAGTTTATTTGTAGATAAATGTAGGAATTTTGTAGATATTAACATAAAATCAGACTTCCTCTTCTCCATTCCTTCTTCTTCTCAAAAAATACAGAAATGAGACCCATTTTTTATAATCAGATTTTTCCCATTCAATTGTAGCATGATTGGGATTTTAGACACGATTGAGTGTTGTTGCTGAGGTATTGTTCTATATTTTATTATTTTTTCGATTTGTATATTTAGAAAAAAAAAGATGAAGAACAGATTTGATTTCAGTTTGTTGAAGCTTTTAGTCTTTTTTTTTTTTTGAATTACGAAAAAAATTCCAATGGCTTTGCCTACCAATCAACTCTGATCTGGAGAAAAATACGCAGATGAGAAATCTCCTTTCCCTTTTTAAAAATTGAATTTAATGTAGAATCAATTAACACCAAGATTCTCTCCTTAATTTTAGCGCGTTTTTTAGGGAATATTCTGCCCTTTTAATGCCTAATAGTCGAATGGTATATAAATTGTAGTAAAAGTATGAACTGAGCGGGTAATTAACAAACTATGCACATTTAGAATAATAAGATTTCATATGTGGTATAGTTAGGAAAAAATCCCTTTTATTGGGTTGAACTTGTAAAGATTCTACCTAGTTCTTTAATAAGTGGGCCACTGCTTTATTATTAAACATTATAGCATATGGTATGGATGGTAAGTGGTTTTATATTTGAAATTTCAAGTCACTTTTAAAGTGGTTTTCCAGTCACATTGTTACTTTGTAAGATATATGTATAAACTTGAGCGACTTTATTGGGACAAAAAAGGATAAATGACTTTACTAGGTAATTTTGTTTTTGAGTGATCTTTGAGGAATTAACTCCTTGATTTGTTACTCTTTTTCATATTAGGATGGAATTAATTTGTTTTGTTTCTGATATTTTCGCTGATCTTACATTGAAGTTCTTTCTTTAAATTTCATATTTTCAAACAAGTCTTTTCAGTATACAATGGTTATTCCTGATGATGAGGAATTCTTTTTGAATTACAGAGAGCAGTTAATTAAGTGAGCAGTTGTGTTGCATTGATTGATTAATTTACATAATTCTCACACATCTGGGCAGAAAGAAAAGAATATCAATATTACTTCGAAAGTATTACTTTTTCTCTTAAACATAAACCATGTAGCATACTGACAAGTGCATCCTTCAAGGCTTGAGTTGATAACTTTGTAACTGTCCTAATTTATAATATGTATTCATCACAAACTTGAGGGATGAATGGAAAATCCAAACCAAGCTTAATATCTGAATTCTGAGCCCTTCATAATTATACTTGGATATGAATTCTGACCTCTGATAGATATAGTAAATTCCATATATACAAGTAACTCAGCGGTAAACTGATAGAAACACAGATTACTTGAATAATAGTACGTCATTGCCGCAAACTGCATATGCTTCTTATCTTTCCTCTTTTAGGTGCATTTAAGATTAGTCATACACCCAGAAGTTGAACTAGCAAGCAACATTTAATCAAGCGTTCACAGTGTTGAAATAATCACGAACATAGAACTGGAGCATACACAAGCAGTGTTGTCAAAATCTCAGTATTCGAGGTTCGTTTAATCCCTGAAGCTCAGAGAAGCTCAGTGTAGGCGCTTTGGCTTCACTTAGGTTGCGCTTCAGTGGTAGGCAAGGCGCTAAGGTGTGCGCCTCATTGCCCATAAACTATGCACATTTACGATGAGATTGTAACTGTTAACCGTACTCCCTGATTGATTTTTGTTATGTGGTTTATTTATTTTGTGTTATTATTGGGAAGGCCCAAAGTCATTCTAACCTGTTTGGTGTATTGCACAATTTTAGTTTTAACGCTTGCAAGCTTTCATGATATATATGCTTATGTGGTTTCGGCAAGTTACCACAATTGGAGTTCACATAGAATATCTAACTCCGCTGTCATTGCAACTTGTATCTTGTGCCGAACTAATGCGTACATTTTCCTGTTCAACAGTTTCACCTTGTGAGTGTTGTGGAATTGCTAGATAATTTTCTTTATAGGCAAGTGATACTAAAAAATGATGCATTTAATTTGTTATGAGACAACTTTGCTTTACCGTACTTTTTAATCTTGATTATTTCTTGTTGGCAGGTGATGAGTCCGGAACCAAAATGTTGTTATTTTGGACTCAAAAGACACAAATAAGTGTAAAAAAAAAAAAAAAGTGACCATAATATATATAACGCCAGAAAACCTGGCGCTATATAATAAAGGTAACTGCACCGTTAATATATAGCGCCAGGTTTTCTGGCGTTATATACTGACACAGTGATATAGCACCAGAAAACCTGGCGTTATACCCCT